AATGTCCTCCTGTTCGTCTCGTACAGCATCCGAAGATGATACGATATCAAACATAGATAGCGATTTTGTGGGTCAGTAGCAATTAAGCACAGACAATGTGTTCTGTGTGATAGTAACCATTAATACTCAGCCATATGCCCTCAGATGATAAAATAAAAAGACAAAACTAGTAGGTTAATGTTCACGATAGTTGGAGTGTGAAGTGCAATCTTAAGGTGGATCGCGGTTCACCTTGAAGTGAACCTAGTCTTTTCAATCAGTGGGGCTATCTAAAGCTGATGACGAAGTGGCTTCATGTTTGCTTACACCAAATGGGTAAAAGTGATCGAACAGAAGAAGTGTCTATTGCTGACGCCCTCACTGAGAGTAACACGTGTAACACGGTTAATAACTCATCAGCAATCCTCCTGCAACACCCGCTTTGTGGATAGATTGCGACGTAAGGTCTCAGTGAAGAAACTGACCAAGGTCCACTTCAAAGTCAGCTACGATTCCGGTCCCGATCAAGGAGTGTCAATCAATGCGAAACTGATCGTGTAGTGCATAATTGGGAGCGATTAACATCCACTGTTTATCAGCTGAAGAGAGGAAAGGTTTTTGAGCTACTGGACCACCTGCAAGCTCCCAAAAAGTGCAATGTGTGCGCACGATTCTACTTCTACGTGGATGTGTTGACGCTGCCTGACTAAGTAACTCATCACATGATGGGTGAAAAGTTACCGTTCGGCAAACAACAGCTCTTTCATTTTTGACTGTGACTGGAAAAGTCTAGATGAAGGGTAGCTCACACTAAACGTTCTGTTCACGTTGGTCGATTCCAGTGCGCATTCGTCTGGACTGCGTTGTCTCTTAGCGAAAACTAACGTTGAAACCGAGGATGATGTCGTAAACTCGTGAAACTCGAATGTCTGGTGAAAAAACTTTGACGTTGAGCAAATAACCGCAGTCGAAATAATATACGTCATACGAGCATGGTAGAAATAGAAGGATCACATCAATCACATTCTTGGACCGACGCGTGCCATCTACTGCTGATAGCGATCTGATCTGCCTGAGTCCGGAACAAATTTGGAGGAGAACGTTTGTGTTAGCCTACCGTTTGGAGAGCGCATGGCTGAGGAAAGTTGTTGCATAGCTGGTAGAGCCAGTATCAAGCTGGACTTCAACAGTAGATAACGTTCTTACCCCGGAATTCCTACGAGATGCAAGATTCAGGATAGATGCACCTCGGTCTCTAAAATAAGCGTAGAGGGATGCTGGAGGAATTTATCGCCCACAGCCTCTTGAGCAGTTAGTAGGATTAAAGACCATAGCAATAAAAATCTACCTCGTCCTAGGCCGCTAATTGTGAAAGCACATGGAAATTGGATGTTGCCCGACTGAAAACTGCTTCAGCTACGGTCCTAGTAATCGAATAGACCAAGGTTCACTTCAGTGCGAATCACGGTCTACATTGAGATTGAGCGCCGCAATCCAATCACAAAACGTGTATTCAAAATAACTCTTCAATCAAACTAATGCTAACGTTTAAGCAAACAGGATAATGCATACAGAGACTCATTCTTGGAAGTCAGTCTTGCAGTATCACAAATAATGCAAACACCGCGAGCTACTGGTTCGGTATCACAAGAAGCACAAAGTGGCGTAAGCGAAAATAGAATAGGACGCTGTTGTCCTGTGTGTGGGTGTGTATCCGAGAAATAGCGCACACCTACTCAGAGGGAGCACAAATTGATCGGCTGTTTCTTGTTGACCGACCAGATACGGTGTGCGGAGGTCAAAACGCTAAATGGTGGTCTAGGCTAAATATATGGTTCCGCTTTTTTGCTAACGTGGTTTATGAAATCAGTAATGATCTCTTGGTGGGTAAGCTGAGAAAAAAAAACCTACGAGTGAAGGAAATGTAGGAGGAAAGAGCAATGGTGATGGGGTCATGTGGACAGACAGCAACCCCACCCCCGACAGGCTGCCTGTGCCGAAGAGGGGCAAAGAAACGGTGAAAGGGTACTGCTGCCCGATAGTCCACACTCTCCGATTGCGCAATTAGAGAGATGTTTTGTTCGAGGTTCCCTGCAGCTAGTTTTGAATCCGATAATTGACTCACAAGGCAGTGAGACAAATGAAATGTTTATTTGCTGATTTCACGCATAGCTCTTGACTCCACAAAATGTCCCAAAGGGCAACGGGGGAATTGTAAACATAACATCAAGGGGAGATGTGTAATAGGAAAAATAAAATTATCGGATAAGTTAATGGACTTCTTCGATTAACTGTTCACTTTCCCTACTATATCACAGTGGCCAGAGTGAGGTTTCATCCACACAAATGTGTTACTGGCACACGGTTCATGCCAAAGTAGAGTCAGAATGTATACAACGCAGTTGGCCTTGACGCCAGCAGATCATGCCAGTCAGTTATATCTAACATATGACGAGGTAATATATAATTTTTAAAGGCAACACCTTTAACTACTACTTCTGAGACCGGAAGTATAGAAGGCTCTTCCTCAGAATTCCGTACAAGTGGAGTGCCTGAACATTGTCTTATTTTTCAACCGTAAACCATGCAACGGCTAGTTAAACTGCCGCTCGCTCTGGAATATGGTATTGCGTAGTAACCGACTAGGAAGCTTGGAGAACGCGAGATCAGTTGCAATGCGCGCTGCAGAACAGACTAGTGTACAGTGCTATACTGGTTGGCATGCGGTTCCCATTTTCATAGTGCGCAGATGGCTACCGAAGCTCACAATCCGCGAGCCGACGCTCAAAATGATCGCTTCTTTCAATTATTGAGGCTACTGCATCCAAACTATCGAATATGCTAGTGAACGCATTCATATGGCGCATGTGGATTTCAGAAACCTCAGTTATTGTGATACAGAGTATGAACCGATCAGTGAACGGTCGCTAAACGGAGATCGAAAGTAGCGGAACAAATTCGGGGATCTGACGCCAGAAAAAGCTTGCTGATGTACAAATGCTATGGCAGTTCATTTCATAGGACGCTATGCAAAAGCATGTGACGCGGAGGTGAGATCACTTGTATCCGACGAACAAGTGCGCATCATCTTAAGTCATGCGACTGTGAGCTGAGATCACAAACGCATGGGATTTGGCGAGTGCATTGCGCATGAACGATCATCGATACATATAAGACCGCCTGCATTAGATGACGGACATGAGAATAGAAATTCTTCCGTGTCCGTAGACTGATGAGCTCCTACAGCAGTTAGGCTGCAACAACATACCGAAGTAAATAGCTGAACACTGAGAATAGACTCTACCTAAAAGTCAGTGTTGTGTTGAGGGGGACCTCCGAATTCCTTGCAGTACCTGGTGGCTCATACGCCGTGTTAGAGTTCGAACGAGTTCACAAGTAAGCCAGTGACCATGAGAGTTTCTCGTTTGTCCTGTGTTATGTATTCGCGTTTTTTGCAGAAGCGAGTGGTCGCTGACCCTATTGAGCAATTCGGGTGGTTGTTGAGTGCCAGACAGAGCTGGCAGTACCTTGGAAAAGTTCTGTAGGAGCATCTTGCACGTCATGGGAAGGGAGAACATGCAGTGTGTGGTAGGTCCTAGCAACTAGTTCAGCAGCGACTTAATATGGTTGTGAAAGATCCAGTGCCTGATAGGTTGTCGCGTGCTACAAGTTCATCAGACGAGCATCGGGTACAATTCGCATTCCGGCAGTAAATGAATGAATTATTGGAGAGCAGCCACATTAAATTAAACAAATGATATGAAACAGCCATTGAGCAAAACACTAGGTGGAAGCATGAACGTTTATCAATGTATTTGGATGCCCGGCAGTATTTCCGTCGGCAGCGAACAAGTTACGTTAGGTCGAAGTGGTGCGAGCTTGACTGGAAGACAGTCATCAGTTGATTAATCAATTATCCACATAAGGTATAAAGTTACTACCCATAAAAACAAAAATCAAAAGAGAGAAACAAAGTATCGCCACCGGAGACAGAGTAGTCCCCCTCGGTTCGGACAAGCAAGAATGATCCGGGCACAGAGATAAGGTAAACTCATGTGCCTTGATCTGTCATAAATTAAAAATGAAAAGTGAAAAAGGGAAGAGACGAATGAAAAATACGAATTTAGCCTAGACGAATGACCGGGTGAGCATTCACCCATTTCGGGTCTAGTTGGTAATGCTTAAATAAGGTGAACCATAGGAGATGCGGCGGCTACGGTGGCCAAGTAGTTAGCTACGATTTAGCGTCGTTGAGCTGTTAATCGAAGCTCAACTACTGAGCGGACAATATGTGAAGTGCGGTGTTATCCAAATATCATCCCGCATTAAAAACAGCACATAACGCATGACTAATCCTGCTGGTCATCAGACACACGCATACCCAGCATTTAACTGAGATGGCGGTCAAGCCTATAAATCGAACGTTAACTGATAGCGAACATGAATGACCGACCACACACATGCAACAGAAGTGGCCGCACTTCGCAAACGCAGGAATCCGTAGAGCGCGAACAGGATACATCGAGTTCACAACGAGGTCTCACAGACCAAAACATGTGTTGTCACTGTTGGAAACGGTTGACGCGAACCACTGTGCGGAATTGGCTATGAACAAGAACAGTAAAGTGGTGGGCAGATTTACATGTTCAAGATTGACACCGGTGCATATGTTGAAATGCAAACCCCTGGACCGTTGACGTCTTAACCAGGATGCCATAGAAGCGGAGAAAACTGATCGGGGGAGACGTCAAAGCTGAATGCAGCAGCCAAAAAAACCGGAGTAGAAGTAGGAGCACTTTGGATAGAAGCTGAAACCGAAAACGAGGACAGGAGAAATCTGGGATCAATGAGACCGTAAGGAGACGAGGAGCCAGGAAAGAACATAGAACATAACGCGATTAAAACGAAATCAAACGAAAAAGGGTCTGATTGGGGACTAGAACAACAGTACGAATGCAGCGACATAATCGAAGAGGAGGGTGGTACACTCTGTGCGCGTGTGTGTGGATGTGGGAGTTGTGGGACGATTGCAGCGATCAGACATAGAATTAAACCAACGTTCGGATCTGGAGAAGACGGCAGACGGTTGTCGTCGGAATCGGCTGGATGCTCACAAAAGGGTACATCGTCTCCGTTGCTTTTTGTGTGAATCGGCCTTCGGTCGTTGCACATTAGCCAGCTGGCGTTTGCAAATCTCTCGGGCGACTGTCTCGAATACCTGAAAGGAGTGAAGAAACGTGCACAACCTGTCAAACTGATGGTGGTCGCAAAAGACCATACATACGTGCGCGCGCACGTATGTATTACACATTGAGGATATATGTCTTGCACTAAACGCATGACGCCATGTAAGGCGATGTGGCCACATCATTTGCGTTCAATGGATTTTCCAATTCACTCCGGCAAAAGCGCTACTTGAGTTTCAGTTGTAAGAAAAGGTATAGCGCGCAAAGTTGCGAAAAGGGTGCTACACAAACACTTCCAGTGGAACATAGGGCGTAATATCACTAAGCAATATCATCATCATCATCATCATCATCAACAACAACAACAACAACAACCACAAAGGAAGCAATGATGGCAGGCTCTACTAGTTTCAAAATCACCATTAGTGAAACTACATGTAATATGGTAAACCAACGGCAGCATTTTGGACGGTAGCTTAGCGGACCGTGTTAGATACACTGTTACTGTTATCACCTAACTGGTCACTCGGTTGCATTCAAGGTGCTTTAGCGATCCCGACGACGGAACTTCTAGACTAATTTCGTGATTATTGGCACATTTCTGGCAGTGATAGCATCAGAACCGGAACGCGAACCAATGGCGTAGCGAGTACCGCTAGACAGCTTTACCAGTGCACTGAAAACATCGGAAAGCAACAATCGTCACAAAGTACAGGAATATATTGATGGTGTCGACGAACTGCGACAGACTCACATACGGTCCCAGTGAGTGAATTGACCGAGGTTCATAGCGAAGTTTGCTGCAATACAAGTTACTAGTGAGTGTCCTAATACATCCGCAAAGAACAACGCTCAGTACAGGGAGCAGGATTATCACCGGAAGAAGCGGAATGCATCGGCAGAACGCCAGGAAACACCGTAAAGACGCTTCACTGCCATGCAACCACCAGCAGTCGCGCGAGAGCTGGGTATACCGGTAGGTCACTTGCAAGTACGCGCATTCGAACCAGTGACCTCCGGACTAAAAGGCAAGCGTGCCATCCTTTCAGCCAAAGGTCGACCACAGAGCCATCAAGAGAGTGAAAGGAGCGCCCAAGGGGCTCAGAAGGAGTACCAAGAAATCAGAGGTCATGCTGATTTCTATCACATGGCCACGAACATTTTTGAAGTATGCACTTTTCAATGATGGAACGTGTCCGACTGCGTTTTGAAGATATGAGGATTTCACCCTACGGAAAAGCGCTGCTATGTGCAAGTGCTATCTCTATTAGGTCAGTGGTGCGTTCACTGCTTGACTGATGTTATGATGGGTTTGTGAAGCCAAAATATTTTCGGTGGCAGAAAAAATCAGCCAGGTACAGAGCACTTTGAATTCGTGGACTGGTTTATGTGGATAGATGTACCATTTAGGCATACAGAAGCGCATTCACATAGAAAGACAGCGACGGTGGTAGGCGCTGAGCATAAAAAACGAGGCTGAAAGAAAACATTAGCTTAACTGCGACGAATGAGGCAATCACAAACGGATGCGCGCTGTTACAACTATCGTGTCTTGAGACAGATAAAGGGTCAGTTCATGGGGCTTTCTTCTGATTAGTGGGGTTTACGCAACCGGGCACTATAGTGGAATGGTCCCGCTGCAGCTAGTCGAGGCAGTATTAATATAACTTGACAACAATTGATGAGAAGGATGCAACAATTGGAAGAAGCAAACATGAAAAAGGCTACAAACGATAGAATAGACTATTACACAAGTATGAATGAATGAATGAGTGGTTAGCATGTTTCTCGATGGCGTGAGATGCACCCTACTAGGTGGTATGATGGCAGGATCGCGTGAAAGAGATTACTGTTTAGTTACTTCGAGGTGGTTCCAAAACGCGTTTCAAGAGTGGTCAATCAGTTAAACGTATCGGAATGACGGATAAGTAGGTATACGCATATATGCGTGGCCACGAGGGGCTAAAATCGAAAAGAGGATGAATACGTTGAATAAGTAACCAGCATCAGTAAAGCGTTTGGTAAGCAAGCTGTTTCCGATCCCATGTATTAACCAAGGACAATTAATGCGATCCATGTGGCACGCGTGCTACATTATCGCCGCAGTTAGTTTACAAAGTTATTAAAACGTAACACATCGGAATGCAAAGACGGCGGATCTGTCGTCAAACCTAGAATGGTAAGTTCTAACGCTTTGCACAGTGGTCCTAAGCGGAAAGTATTAGCTCGTGGGGCTAGCTTCTGTCCTCTACACAGTTCGTAACTGGTAAGGCAATAGAATATGAGCCGGGCTATATCGCAGCCAACCGTCAATCATGCAGGTCTGCGGCTGTCAGCGACGGCGAAGTGGCACTAGCTGCTGGTATCCGGAAGTCATGGGGGCGGAACCCGTTAGGGGTCTGCTGGAAGGCGGACCACTGACGAGACCCAGAAGGTCAAAACACCGGTGTCTGGTGACATTCCAGGCTAGCCTAAGACTGCTGACTGAGAGTCGACCGTGATGAACTCTCTAATCATATAAGTAAACCTCCGTATGCGCCGGTGACCAGAGACGTATGAATTCGTTTTGTTTTGGATGAGTAATAGTTGTAGTTCCGGTTCATACTGTAACGATGATCACACATTTGGTGTTGTACAATTTGGAACAAACCAGTAAGCAGCTAACTCGCTGACAATGATGGTAGCCGAGGAGTCTTTCAAATGCAGCACAAATGGTTCTTAATGGCTGAAGATTGCGATTTCTGTCCTGCTTTGCACCTTCCGAAATATCTCACATCAAGCATAATACGAAGAAGGCTAAATGGTAACCACACTATGATGTAAGGGGTATACTTAAGATAGTTTGTCACCCATATTATTCCCAAGCAGATTAAAATGTCCTTCCTTAGTAACAGTGACAAGTGTGTAAAGATAAGCTTATAGTGCACCTAAAAAGAGAAGTTTAAACTGCAGTCTAGCACCGAACAATCCGGTCCCTTAATGACTAATGAAGGATTAATGTCAGTGTCTGCGCCTGTGGCAGTTTCGATCCGGGCCGAAATTCCAGTTCATTCTGACAACACTACAATTAATCACCACAGCTATTCCCCGCCTCATTTGTCTACAATCAGGACTTTCGTTGGAAAGGTAGGATTGGAAATTGTTCTGAGGGGCATTGTGGTAGTATCATATGCCCAGACGCCGTTCGCTGGTGTTGCCGTGGCAACCTTGTGCGTAATTGTAACCAAAAGTACAGCTATGTGGCAGGGTTATACTAGTGGCGTCGGATACAAAAACTCTATCCTACACAAAGGAGGCACCCAGGACTCAGTAACGAACGGGCTATTGAGCTAAAATAAGCAACCAAACCTAACACTGAGGAATAAGAAAAAGGATGGTGGGGGAAAACCTGATGCTCAAACAGAAGAATCATAATATGGGGCACTGCGGACTCATTAATAATAGTGTAAGGGTGGAGATGCGGGTTAGTTTAGCCAAATAAATGTGAGCCGGAAGCTAAAATGAAATGGGTCCAGTTGGCTCGGCTCGGAGCCAAAATAACCACGAATAACAGTGGTAAGGAATACGAAGTCTGTCGTAAATAGAATACAAAGAAAGGGATAAAAAAGATGATTACGGTTAATCAGGTTGAAATGTTAACAGTCAACAGTGAAACATAGGGAGGAATACGAAATGACGAAGGGAGAAAAGTACTGCAAATTGTTATAATAAAAATAAGGTCTCACAACAGCACCATTGGGTGCGAGTTCTTGCCATGTGAGAGAACGTTTCCAGCCAGGTGTGTTCGTGGTTCTTGCGCCCCTATCCCAGGAGTCAAGAGCGCACGAGCACGGCCAACGTTGAGGTTAGCGCCCTCAAGCTTTAACCGTTAGCCATTCGTTGTTCACCTTGCTTCGCCTTCAGCCGACTTATGGGGGTGTAAAGAAGCAACCGTGGGATAAAAGCTGAGCTGGCATGCGAAGCAAATGCCCAAACCACCGGAGCCTGTGTAGTGAGATAATGCAGCGCAGCGATCGACAGAGCTTCCTAAAGTTGAAAATCCTTGGCTGAACGTCATCGTTAGTCATGTGCTCCGAAGACATTGGTGGTCAAAGACAGATAATCCGAACATATTTTGCTTGGACAGGCCAAGTCTCGTAATCAAAGAGCAGGACAACTCTCACCGTAAAATTATAGACTCGGCCCTTCAGTAACAGAAGGAGGTCGCGTTAATACAAGAGATGGTGGAGATAGTGGGAAGTAGCGGAAGCAACCCGGGCCTTAAAGAGGCATAAAGTTACTTCATACGTTAAACCGTTAGTGCGGAGGCAACTTCTGATGTAAACGAACTTGACCACCACTTCCAAAAGGTGACACAAAAAGGAGAAAGTGGGAGTAGCTCCTAGCCTGTCTGGTACGGACAGCTTGCAGTTTGACGGGGCGGAATTCATTTTGAAATGAGAGACAGACACCCCCAAACAACGTATTAGATTTTTGGTGGCGTGCAAGAAAACGGTGATGTAGGTTGCATACACCAAATGGCGAAGTCGGACACCCGGAAGCATACATGAGCGCCACGTTTGATGAAGTCCCTAAATACCAATAAAGAAGGTTCCATCCGTAATGGTAAAAAGTAAGAGCTTGAATAAACCTCCCGGTCAATTTCTTCATGCTCCGTCAACACATGGCCATCTCGCGATCTCGTTCAGCAGGGTACACTGACAGCATATAATGCATGCAGAGGAAGGCGACTGATAGACATCCAGTCATCATCATCATCATAATACACGTTAGCTAGAGGTGGGGAACACCTCAGCTACTGTGCCGCAATACACAGAATAAAGGAGAAAAAAAGAATGCAACTGGTGCAAACCGGCTGAGTTACGGGTAACCGATGGGCATCGTTCCGGTAAGCTACCAGCCGGCTACTGTGCATCAAAAAAATTAATATGCAAAAGTATATAATAATATATATATAATATAATAATAATATATATAATGAGATCGCGCTAGGAGGGGGAGGCTAAGAGGGATGGGGTGGGACAAAGAAACT